GTAAAAACTTCAAGCTCTCGAAGTATCGCTTATGCATGAAGACCAAAGTGAAAAGTTTTTCGAACTAGTGCTCAAGTTAATAACTCAAAATCTCCGAGTAAGTAGTTGAAAGAAATAAGTCTCAATTTTATTATATTGAAGATGAACTTTTATATCTGATTATTAATTGATAGAATATTTTATTTTAAGAGGAGGTAGTTTTAATCGTCCCTCAAACTATTTACTTTGGACTTGTTTAAAGATGACGTCGACTCTACGTGATGGTTATGTGTCAAAATAATGATTAATTGATAATCTATTTTTTTATTTTTTATTTTTTTTTAATGATGTATGAAGTTTATAAATATAATAAAGAAAAAAATGTCACAAATCCTCTCTAGCGTAAATAACCCAATGGTAAGGGGGCAGTATCCGACATCACCTCTGCTCTTCCCATATATTGAACAGTGACCTTTGACCGTCTATTCCGTCTCCCCCCTTCTCTCTCTCTCCTTTTCGCCACGCCTGGGGTCGTCTCTCTCGATCGATCAAAACGAAGAAGATTGCGCCTTTTGATCATCTGGGACTTCCTTCGGCGGCCCGGATCTTCTCATCTCCTGATCGTACGGCTGGGGGCGGGCTTGTCGGCCGCTCCTACGTGAGTAATTCTTCAAGAAACGGCGATAAGGGAACCGCCTTTTCCCCTCCGTGTCTGTTCCTTTTCCGTTTCTTGACGCGTTCGATCCGTGTTTGCTTTGTTATCCATACAATCGAGTTGCCGAAGAATAAAAAGGAAAGGACGGACGGAAGGTAGGGAGAAAACGAAGAGTACGATTCCTCTGCCAACCGTTGTATGCAGCCATTCCCTTCTTTCCTTTTCTTCTGCGTGTGTGGGTACTTTGTGCTCTTGGTTTTATTGTATGTGTCTTTGAGAATCTTCGTTTGTTAAAGCCTTATCCTGTTTGGTGGTCTCTTCTTTTTCTTGGTATTGTATCTCGAAAATCTTTTTTTAAAAAATGTTCTTTTTTACTTTCTAATCATTAAAAGATTATGGTTTTCTTCGTGTTATTTCTTTATATTATTCCATCACACGATTCTCTTTCGCTGGAAACGGTGTTTCTTGAATCCTCAGTTTGATGTTTGGTTCTGTGGATCCTCGTCAAGGAGATTGATCACCGGTTTTGGCGTTTCCTTTCGACACGGATCGCATATATGCTACCAACTTTGGGTGTGATTAAGGCTTATGAATCCAAGAAATATTTTGGGCATATGTTCTCTGTTTTTCTTTTGGGAGGTGTCCACCATCTTCTGCTATTGGCGAAGGTTTTGCTTCTAGGGTTCATTTCTCCCGCTTTCTCTTCTAATGTTGTTGGTTGTATAAAACCCTCAGAGACATAGTCTAGAACGCAGATTTTGAACTTATTTATCATTTCTCAGTACTGTTCTCGTTTCTTGAGATCTGATGCTGCTCATTATAATTGTTCCACTTATCATTTTTTATTTGTTTGGATATAGTGGTTCTGTTTGTCATAGTAGTTAGTTTTTAAAGAATCTTCTGCTTTCGTTTGTAATTTGAAGTCATCTGCATGTTAAATATCTGACACCATTTGTTCAAGAAGATAATGTTCTTTTATTTCTTTTCGAGTCATGGAAGACATCCTGGTTATATCGACTGGTAGTTTTATTCAACAGTTCATGCAACATAGGACTCTAATTATTTCGATATATAGCTAGCTGACGTTTCTTGCTTCTTTCCAGGGAACTGTAGCTAACTGGATTGGTTTTTAAATTTGTCTCTGAGAAATGATTTCTGCTCTTTTTATGACTCTTTATTTGTGAGCTTTCTATCTCATGTATCGATTATTGTGTTCAGGGTGCTCCCTTGGATGGGGTTCATGGAGGCCAATGGCTTAGATAGAACAACAAGAAGGGACTACATAGCTCGAGAAGACAGTGATGCAGAATCACTAAATGGTTTTGGTGAATTTGATCCATGGACAGCTTGGGCCTATAAGCCACGCACAATTTCTTTACTACTCATTGGCGCATGTCTGTTAGTGTGAGTCCTGGTTGTTGCCAATTTGACAGAAGTTCTTTGGTATCATATTTATTTAATATTAAATTATGGTTCATATGTTCATTTATTATATCTCAAATTTGTCCAACGTGTGATAACTTTTGGAAAATTTGCCCCACCTCCCTCTTTCAAGTTTGATTAAGGGGGACATTTGGTATACCATATGGTTATTTCCTCTTATACTTGGTTGGGCAATACTAGTGAAACAGTAAATTTAGATGTAAGCTATGCACAAAAGCTAGCTTGTGGATTTAATTGTAAACTTTAAATAGTTTACTTTTAGTAACCTACTTTGTCTTTTTTTTTCCTGCAACCATATGGTTGTGCTGAAAATATAAGAGAAGAAATGATTAGAAAAGAAAAGAATGGTCTGCCATATCCAGAAGGATGGTCACCATGGTTTTACATGCAACTATATAATGATATCTGTTCAGAGTCCTGTACTAACTCATAGGTCCAGAATGAAGAACCTTACATGAGAAAGGAGAGTGAAAAGCTATGAAGACTATTAGTGAAGCCTGATTTAGAACAGCAGAAAAACTCAATTAGCAAGTTGTTCAACTATTTCCCATTTGTTAAGCTAATGTCAAGTGTCTATTTGTTGACTCAATTATCAGCGACTTGAGAAAGTACTAAGATAAATATATAAATCTGGCAGTTCTAAAACATATTTACTTTTTGAATGTTGATGTCTTATCATGGATCGGTTGGCGTATGTACTAAACTATTTTGTCTTTACAGTTGGGCAAGCGGTGCACTTGATCCTGAAAGAACAGAATCTACTGATGTTGTTACCTCAGTAAAGAGGTATGCTCATTTCTTATCAAAAAGATCATCCTTTGGAAAGTTTGATCCAATTTCCACCTCATATTCCAGCTATATGAGAATGCTAACTGCAGAGGATTGTTTTCTTTGAATTTAATTAAGTTTTAATTTGCTTCATCTATGTTAGACTCGTTTATCACTGATGTTCTTTGGTTTCTTAAGGGGCGTGTGGGCAATGATTGCAGTTTACCTAGCCTATTCCTTGCTGCAAGCACCTTCAACGTGAGTTACAGAATTCCATTGCTGGAAAAGTATCTAACCTTTTCTTTTTCTAGTACTCATTCTCATTGTGTTGGAGTGAAATATACTTCATGATAAGCATATTAGACACAAAAGTAATGGAGCTTGCCTGTACGTTTGCAATCAATGGAACCTAAGCTATTTGCAGTGATTCCACTCTGTTTACAAATCAGAAAAACAAAGATTTTTATCTGCTAGTTCACTGCCAATATTCAACTTTAAAATTGTATAATATGTATATCATTACAATTGTTGCAAAATGGTTCAATAGCTCAGAGGATCAGGTGGTACTGCACGTGGATGAATTTTATGTGATTAACTGTATAAGTTTGATGAGACAATGTATCTTTTAACCCTCAAAAAAATATTTATTTTTATATTAAAGGTTTTTGTTACCTACCTAGACTTAATTGCTAAAGCTGTTGTTAGCTATATAACATGAGATGACACTATTGATCTCGGACCTTGTTGATGGCATTTATGTTTGTCAGGGTCCTTATAAGGCCACACCCTGCCATTTGGCGCTTGGTTCATGGGATGGCCGTGGTGTACCTTGCTGCCCTCACCTTTTTGCTTTTTCAGGTTTGTCCTTGATCTCTTAATCTGATAAATTTTGAAGTGTATCACTGATTCATTTCTGATTCTTCTCCCTATTTTAATCTTTAGAAATACTTTTCTCTATTGATATGCTGTGGTATCTGGCGTTTATTGAAAATAGGATAATTTTTCGAGCCACATTGTTAAGTTTGAATTTCCATGATCTGAAAAATTCTTTCTTCTTCTTATTCTTCTTTTTGAATGTTTATTGTGACAGATTATAATAGGCATTTGACTTTCTTTTTTTAAGTAACCTACAATAATTACATTTTAGAAGATTCTCTTGCTTCTAGTTGATAGGCTTCATGCTTTCTGTATCATTTTGATCTGTTACTTCTAAATATAGTCTGGATTTCATTTTATAAGTTCATAGTGTATGAATTTCAATTATTTTCATATGTAATACTACATCCGTTTATTTGATGTCTTTTGCATGCTCACCAGAATCGTGATGATGCTCGGCGGTTCATGAAATTTCTCCATCCCGATCTAGGAGTTGGTAAGCATTTGACTTTAAGAGATTTTCAGTTTGTATCGTACAATAGTTTATTTTGAATATATAAAACAAAACCTTTGTTATGTTTATACAGAACTACCTGAAAGGTCTTATGGAGCTGATTGCCGTATTTATGTACCTGAGAATCCTAAAAGCAGGTTTAACAATGTTTATGTACGATGTCTTCATTCACCAACCTAACTTCACTCCCATTCTGTATATCTGAGTGTTTTCGGGCCAAAAAAAAATACTGTTGGATTCGAAGTGTCTAACCATAAGTCTTTACTGATTCCAGGAGACATTATTTGATGAGTTTGTACTTGCTCATATTCTTGGATGGTGGGGGAAGGCAATAATGATACGTAACCAGCCTCTTTTATGGGTGTTGTCAGTAGGCTTCGAATTGATGGAGGTTTGGTTTTGAATTGTTCATCTTTATCAATATAATTGTTAGTTTATTTGCTTTTAGTGCTCAGTGATCTTTTGACATATCGATCACCTAACGTTGCAGCTAACTTTTCGCCACATGTTACCAAACTTTAATGAGTGCTGGTGGGACAGTATTGTTTTGGACATCTTAATCTGCAATTGGTTTGGTGAGTTTCCCTCTCTCCTTTATTTTATTTGCTTAATACAAATGATGCTTTTCAAGTTCTAAAATTTTAATTCTGTGGATGCTGGTTATAGTCCAAGAAAGACAATACAACAGTGGATGTTTTCCAAATTGGGAAAATTGTGATGTTTTAGCATGTGCATTGATTTCATACTTAGATGTGTGAATTCAGTTCGTACCATACTTCAACAGAATTAGCTCAGTGGTGGTTCCGATGATTTGGTGAAATACAAGATCTGCACAATTTCTGACAATTGCTAGTTGCATGCAGTGCTTGGTGAAGAATCTGTCTATTAGCATAATAGCATTTTGTTCATAAGAAATATATATGTTTAGTGATTGTGCCAACCATGATTGTTAGCTTTCGTTGGAGGAAGCCTTTCATAAGTTGAAGTCAGATTTTAAAAAATGAATCTAGTGATAGATAAACTGTATCATGTGGGATATGCATACAGCTTGGTGAAGTAGAGATGGAAAGACATCCGGCACAATCGAGTTACTGACTAGAAACATTAATTTTTGTGTCATTTTATCATGTCTCTCATGTGTACATTTACTTGATGGTCTATTTTGAGATATCTTGTTGAAATACCATAATTGTGTAGCCAATTTGTGGAACAAGATTTATTATGATAAACATGTAGCCAATCTGTAGAATATGATATATCACAATTATTAGCATTTGATTAGCTTCTTGTGATAGATAAACTGTATCATGTGGGATATGCATACAGCTTGGTGAAGTAGAGATGGAAAGACATCCGGCACAATCGAGTTACTGACTAGAAACATTAATTTTTGTGTCATTTTATCATGTCTCTCATGTGTACATTTACTTGATGGTCTATTTTGAGATATCTTGTTGAAATACCATAATCGCGTAGCCAATTTGTGGAACAAGATTTATTATGATAAACATGTAGCCAATCTGTAGAATATGATATATCACAATTATTAGCATTTGATTAGCTTCTTGTGATGTGCTTAAGTGAGAGTCCGTAAATATTTTGTTTCTCTTCACTGTTATATCTTTTAAAATTCTTTGTTTTTGAATATATTACATGTTGTCAAGCAAACACTAAAAAAGGCCTGCCTGGCACAATGATGTCGTTTTGGTCTATGATTCAGGTATCTGGGCAGGTATGCGTACTGTTAGGTACTTCGATGGAAAAACTTATGAATGGGTTGGCATAAGCCGCCAGCCAAATATCATTGGTAAGGTATGTTCTAGTACAATTGTTTTATAGCTTTCATGAAGATTTAAATTTCATTCAGATTTGCAAGTTAGTTGGGCTTTTATTCCTTGGTTTTAGGAAATATAATTAGAATCTAGCAATATGAGAATTATGAATTTAATGGTTGCGTTATAATGTTATAAAATTCAACTAGATAAGAATCTCTTTTCAGAAGTCAAATAAATAATTTTATAGTGTTTGCTGCGAATCCCTTGATATTTTGTTTTTATGTTAGCAGCACCCGCGCCCTCCATGTCACCTTTTGCAGAGTGAAAATAATCTGCTGGTCAGAGAGGGTTACATGTTGTGCCAGACATACCTTAAATGGTTCTTTATTTATTATTTGGGTCAGGGAACAATCTTTTCATTCTAAGTACCAAAAAAGTGTTTCTGCCATGGACTTACATATTTTCATGAACAAATTTTGGCTTTGTTCTCTCGAAGAATTAAGATAGTAGTCATGTCAGAGAAGATTGCATGTTAATCGAGCATCCTCTAATTGATTCTTTGTATTATCTTATCAAGTTTGTGTGTTACGTCAGACTCATGTAGTGCCATGTAGCATTGAATGATATAATATTTTTCGACTATGTAAGTTCTGTTGAACCATATAAAGCTAATTTGGTACCTAGATGTTGGGGATTTTCTTCTTTTACAATGGCTTTTTGGTTATTGTTAGAATGATAGAGGGTCGCTTTATGGTTGCAGAATTTAAGCTGCACCAGCAATTTAGATTTTCTTTCATTGACGATGACAATTCTGTTTTGCTGTGCATTATCCTTCATGTGTAATGATAGAATGAAGGAACGTAGCAACAGCTTAGATGGTTAATTACGAAAGCATTAGTGTTGCTGAGTTCTTGTCAGTTGGCATAGCACTATTATGGAGAAGATTAGACTTGATTTGACCCCCAGTCCAGACCAATTAATCCAAGGTTCCTTTGACGTTAGAGCATGGTATCTGGGAAGAATTTTAAAGCCCCATAATGCACATTTTTTAGATGGATTGATTGTAACAGCAGCTGGCCTATTTTGGAAAGGAATGAAGATGAAAACTAACTTTGACAAGAAGTTCTATGAACACTTGGATATTAAGATATAGAACTTGCCATAGGAGGCTTGGACAACTTGGCAATACTTCTCTTATCCATATAGAGAGAAGAGATGGGACAGTACTGCACCATGACTGTAGCATATGATTGTAGCACTGATATTATAGCAGTTACTAGCCAAATATCATTTTGTAATTGAGAATAAAGCCTAGATTAAGTTGAATTAGGATTATAATATTCGGTTATGGCACTATATTTAAAAATTGAAATGGTGTAAGATATTCCAATTTGAGCTTGGCAGAGGCCACTGTAGCTTGCATCAAACATTTCTCCTTGAGTCATTTCATCTTTGCTGATCTCGATCTGACCTCTGGACCTAGCTTGTCATCCCAAAGCTGAGCTGATTAGGTTTAATGGTTAAAGCTTGTGATTGAGCCAGACTACTTGCCTTGTGGCGTACTCATATCTTTTAGTGCATTTGTCTTAGTTGTTTCATTCTGTGAAGCTAAATGTTCTGCTTTATCAAAGATGAAATTCAAGTTGTCTGTACTCTGTATATCTTTATTGTCTTTTTAATTATTTTGGATTTATTTTTATATTACATGTGGCAAAAAACATTGGGCCAGTTTACATAAAAAACATTGATTTATTTTTTGGTGCGTCTTTTTAACTTCTAAGTTGCTTTATCTTGTGAAACTAATTGCTTTCTTATAGCAAATGTGAAATATGAGTTGTCTGTAGTATCTTGTGAAACTAATTGCTTTCTTATAGCAAATGTGAATATGAGTTGTCTGTAGTATTCTTTATAGCTTTACTGTCTTTTTAATTTTCTCGATTTACCTTTGTATTTGTGTTCTTGCCAAGGTGAAAAGAACATTGGGCCAGTTTACACCTGCACGGTGGGACAAAGACGAATGGCGTCCTCTGCTTGGGCCATGGAGATTCATCCAAGTGCTGTTCCTTTGTGTTGTTTTTATGACCGTGGAGCTCAACACCTTTTTTCTCAAGTTTTGTCTTTGGATTCCACCTAGAAACCCTTTGGTTATTTATAGATTGATCCTGTGGTGGCTAATTGCTATACCAACTATTCGTGAGTACAATACCTACTTGCAAGACAGGTACCTCCACATCTTCCCAATTAAAAGAATAATCTACAATTGAATTTTCAGAATTCCTAATCATAAAAAGCTAATAGTTAGCATGTAGCATGTACCTCAAGTTCTTACTTCTTGGTTTATTAAAACATAACTACGTGATATATATATATATATTAACAATGATGGGAAAAAATCCATGCATCCGACTCCACATGTAGTTGGGGTATCATGATCTGTTGTTACTCCATTTTTCCAAAGATGCATGATGGCAAGCATTTGATGTAGCTAGAAGGAAGACTAACATGTCAATGGTTTCAGAAAACCTGTGAAGAAGGTCGGAGCATTCTGTTGGCTTTCATTAGCAATATGCATTGTGGAACTTCTAATCTGTGTCAAATTTGGCCATGGTGAGTGCGATAGTGCATTGTTGTTCACCATTTATGCTTCAACGTTTGCTTCTCGAGTGTTCTCATCCTGCTAATGTTCAATTAGTAGTCTGACTGGTATTTTGTTGAGCCAGGTCTCTTTCCCAATCCAATGCCTGCATGGTTAATAACATTCTGGACAACAGTGGGCACAGCCTTGGTGATTTTTCTTCTTGCATGGTCTTGGCAGATTCATCTAACAGTGACGAAAAAGAGGTTATGATCATCATTTCGGATTCTCTCTTCTATTAAATTATTTTTCCTCTGTAAATATTCCTTACATTTGTAAATGGACCTAATGCTTTAGACTGGAAATCGGTCTGACTATTAGAGGATATTTCTTTATTTTTTTCCCCTTCTTATTTACTAGGGCAAATTATGTGTTCGGTGCAAATTCCTCCTCTGATATCATTATCTCGTTTTTCTTTTTACTCCTTGACCTTTATGTATTCGATTTAACAATGAAAATTTTGTCATATTTACAAAAATGATACTGGGTCATTTATCTGCGATATATCATCAACTCATCATGTCTTGTTTACGGCCTCTAATTGTATTGTTTCTAGCATGGGTAAGACTACATGGATGTTTGGTCAATGTTAGCTTGCTGATTCAGGTTGGCTTAGTCAGTATTTCTCATGGCATTTGCTGGTTTGTTCATCAAAATCAATGAATATTTGGTGCAGTCTAAATTCATAAAGGAATTGTCATCATGCTCGTGTTTACTATCCTATTGTAAGGATGGCTACTATATACAGTGTAAAACCTGTCTTCCTAGTGTCGCCAAATAAAAAGCCAGAAAGAAGGGATTCGTAAATGAATGTCTTCTTACACCATGCAGCATTAATGCGATCCCTCGGCCATGCTATTGATGGAGAAGTTGACGAGCTTTGAGCAGTAGAGGTCGGAACCTGTCGACGTCAAGCTTCACGTTTTGTTTGTCCAGGTACACCTCCCCCATCTTGATCCATCCCAGCCTGTGAATGGACTTGGGGTCCCTGAACACGGCGTGGTCCCTCGGGTACAGCTCTGTCAGACTGCTCTCCTCCTCGCTCACACTGTATTCCAGGTAGTGCAAGCCTGCGTCCTGGGAAGGGTATCCAAAGCATGCCCTGGAGATGTCTTCCAGCTTGCCGAAAGGAACTATCTGAATCACCACTGCGTTGGTCGGCAGGAACACGAAGTTGGTGAGCCCGGCGCCGTGCACCCCCATCATCACGTCGCAGGAGTTCACCACCCTGGCGATGTCAGCGACGTTACTCCCCATCTTGGCCTCTGTCACCACCACCTCCAAGTCCAACTCCTCGGCCGTCCTTACGATCTCCCCCAAGTTGGTGAACCTTCGACTGCCCTGCCTCGAGATGAGTAGCAGCCTCGGCTTCTTGGCCCCGGCTCCTCCCGGTCTGATCGGGGAATCCCTCTCGAGCGAGTAGGCGACCCTCATGAGCTTCGTAAAGTCGACCATGGAGTACCCGTTCGGAGCTCTCGTGGGGTCGATGGACAGGGCTTTGTGGCTATGGAGGCCGACCACCACACGTCGGTAGCAGTGGACTCGGTCGTCGTTGTTGAAGAAGATGATCTCGTGCCGCGACAGACTTCGAAGAATCTGCTCGTACTTGGAGATCCACCACAGGTTAGTGGTCTCTATGACGAATTGAACCTCTCCGTCGAACCGTCGCGAGGTTATGAACAGTGGAATGAGTACGTCGGTGAAGTCGTGGTAGTAGTTTCCGGTGTATCCTCCGAGCGCGAACACGATGGCCGGGTCGCTGTGGTTCGTGCTGCAGGCGGGGATGCCTCCGAGGCCATTCGACACTCTTACCGAAACCTCGTGGACGTGCGCCATGGCGGCCTTGTCGAACTTGCGAGCGTAAGGCTTGATCCGCCACGACTTCGTTCTTCCTGAGTTGCGAGGTCGGCGATCGGTGACAAGAACTACAGAGGCAGACTTCCCGTGGATTCGAACATCGCCTTCCATGTCGCAGACATCAGTTCTCGGATTGGAGAGATCGCAAGCCGCCTTCGTCCGGGACTTCGTGGACTTACTGATTCTTGGTCCATCTTCACAACAATAAAAAATCTAAATAAGTTGTCACGAAGAATAGCTGAATTGACTTGCTGGTTGAAACAGATGAGCTTTCGATCGACATAAATGATCACTCGTACCTGGTTGCTTGGATTCATTGACCTCTTCCTTCTGGTTTTTGTTTGGTTGACTGGCCTCCGTCTTCTTATCGCCTTCTGCAAAGAACAAGATAAATCTGTGAATGAGGTGCAGCAGGAAACGAAGAGAACTCGCATACCCGATATAAATGATCACACTTACCTGGTTGTTTGGATTCAATGATCTCTTCCTTCTGGTTTTTGCTTGGTTGTCTGGCCTCCGTCTTCTTATCGCCTTCTGCAAGATAAAAGATTAATCTGTGGCTGAGGTACAGCAGGAAACGAAGCGAACTCGCATACTCGTCATGAACTCTGAAGTCGTCGTTTTCCCATCACATTGAGGTTTCCAACCTCGCCCCTTCTCCAAAGAGACGTCTCAACTTATCATTTCTCTGTTCTGTTTCTGAGATCGAGGCTCACCTGACTCCAGATTACTGCCCTTGGTCTGTCCACCGGAAAGAGCGTCGTCTCTTGTCGATGATGAAGTCTGATTCGTTCTGGTAGCGCCATCGCTGCTTGGGTTGCTTCCCTCTGCACCATGTCCTCGACCTGCATCTTCTCTAACTTAGCAACACAACACGTCTAATCCAAAACTCCCAAATTTCAGAAGCTCTCTGCAAGTTTAGGGACTCTCCTACCTGATCTCTGTGAATAGTTGCTACTCTCTGCCACCGGAGACGCATTAACCACGTAAGGCAGATTAGATAGCTGCTGTTTGGCTGCAGAACAATAAGAATCAACAAGACTTCTACACGATCTTTCATATTGTTGCAGTTCATCGATCTACTGTTTCTTGGATTTCATAGCTTCAGAACTTACCTGTAGACACCGTCATGGAAATGAAGCAGGCGACTACGCCGACGCAGAATCCTACAAGCAAAGCCAATCCGAGCTTCCGCGCCTCCATCCGCTTCAAGCTCTTTATCAGGATCATCTCATACCCCATCTTCTGTGTCACCCTCTATTCTATGGCTTCCACCTTTGATCTAAATCCGATTTGCTCTGAAACCTTTGACCGAGTCTTATCGGAGGAAATAGCCATTCTCGTGGAAGGTCATGTTCTTATTCACTGGGATCCGGGCATTGTAGATCATGGTAAATCTTTATGTTACCAGGGGATTTCCAATCCAGCCATGGGCTAAGCAGGTGAAATGGATTAAAGGTAGAATAAATAAGCAACAAGCATGAAAGCAACCTTGATGGAGATGCCATGATTTGGAATGAAAATGGTACTTTATTCCCACACAGTAGCAGTTCAACAGGGGAACCATATTTTCCACCCGCAAATGTCGAAGATGAGAACAACTCGCCAACGTACAATTTGGACTCCTTTAACAGCCGTAATGCAGCAAACTAACTATATTCGAGTGGAAAATTCCTCAGAGCATGTCCGAAATCCATTGTCGACCACTTCCTGCAACTCATTCCAAGTGCTGTTCTACCTCTTCCCTCCGATGCTGCTTGTCGTTTTCGTAGTTCTTGTTTGCAGCATCGAGAGAATACTTCTATTCTTTCGAGTAGGTTGCGTGATTTTAATACCTCGAAGAAGAGGAGTAATAGCCAGAATGGAGCCTCTCCACCTGTCTTTTCTTCTGTACAGCTAATAATTAAGACAATGTCTCCAAATTGCTCTTCGGGCCACCGACGGAATGTCCCTATCAAGGTGAAAGAAGCTTAACCAGTAACATAAATAGCATATATATATACATGTCCCAATTAGAAGTCCTCTGGTTCACATGCCTAGTGTGCCCACCAAACTTCTACAGTGGGTTCTTTGATATGGCTCCGGAGAAGGAAACAAAGCCAGTCCAGCATATGCTAAAGCCAACGACGACGTGTCACATATCACACGGACGTCCTACCGACTGAACTCACCAGTACTATATTGGCTGGGACTGGATTGTAAATAACAAACAGCCCAAGTAACTTGTTAGCCCAACATCCGAAGCCCAAGTCGTCGACTTGGGATGGCTCACTAATAACGCAAACAATGACACACTGTGCTCCGGTAAACCCGGATCCGAAACACTCCGGAGGTGATCGTTGACGTCCTCATCTACCCCTCACGTTTCCTTTTATGCGGTTGAAAGATCCGCCGTCCTCTCTTCTGCGCCCGAACCCGCCGCGCGCTCTTTCCAAATTGTTCGGCACACGACACTCTCCGCGTAACGTCCCCCGCTATAGTGAAGCCCGTCATCACCTTGCGCGCACTTATAAACCAGAGAGGAGACGCCGGTAAACGCGAACGAATCGTCTTCGAAACCCTAAGCCCTTTGGATCCGGCCATGGCCACCCGCCGGGCCCTCGCCTCCCTCCTCCGATCCTCCGCTCAACGTTCCCACGCGATCAGGCTCCCTGCTCCCCGCCGCCTTCCCCCGTCGATCGCATCCCGCACCTCCCCCACCGGGTTTCTCCTCTCCCGCGCCGTCGAGTACGCCACAACCTCAGCGGCAACTGGGGCCCCGACGACCCAGCAGTCTCCCTCCTCTAAGGGCCTCACGGGCAAGATCACCGACGAGTTCACCGGCGCCGGCTCGATCGGACAGGTATGCCAGGTGATCGGAGCCGTCGTGGACGTCCGCTTCGATCAGGGTCTACCGCCGATCTTGACGGCGCTGGAGGTCTTGGACTACCCGATACGGTTGGTTTTGGAGGTGGCGCAGCATCTGGGGGAGAACATGGTGCGGACGATCGCCATGGATGGGACCGAGGGGCTCGTTCGTGGGCAGAAAGTTGCGAATACCGGCTCTCCCATCACTGTAAGATTTTCCTCTCTGTGTTTTCTTGGCGGAGTTAGTATGGCGGACTATATAGTTTCTTCGTTGCCGATTGATGCTAGCTTCGCTGATACCTCGATCTTGATCTGACGCGTACATAGGACCATTGTAGATCATACTCTGTTTTATGCAACGAAATTGCTTTTCTGGATCTTTGCTAACAATTGAACCTTTCGATTTCAATCATACTCTGTTATATGCAAAGGGGTTGCTCTTCTGGATCTTTGCTAACAATTGAACCTTTCGATTTCATTAATAATGGTTATATGTTAATTTCTGTCTGATCTTTGAGAATTACCACTGTTGTCTTTCCTGGGTGTATATCTTTCTAAATTACTTAATGACTGTTCCTACATTCAGGTTCCTGTTGGCAGGGCCACCCTCGGAAGAATCATTAATGTCGTTGGAGAGCCCATAGATGAGAATGGTGACATAAGTAAGTTTTCTTGGTCCATTTGTAAGTATACCATTAGAATAACTACTACGATGACTTATTTTGGGATCATTAGGCACTTCTAAGCTGTTTCTGTTGTGTATATGATTTCTTTCCATGTAAACAGAGACTAGCCACCACCTTCCTATCCATCGTGAGGCCCCTGCTTTTGTTGAGCAGGCTACAGAACAACAAATTCTTGTCACAGGAATCAAGGTAAACTGATACAGGCATGTCTGCTTGTTTACTTAGTTGTCCCTCCTCGTAATAGTTTTAAGCATCGTGTATATGAATCGATCATATCTGTTTTGCTTTCGTTGTTAAGGAGCAGTGATTAGTTGGATATGCCTGCTGCTTATAAGCTTCAATCTCTCTTACAGGTTGTGGACCTTCTCGCTCCTTACCAGAGGGGTGGTAAAATTGGGCTCTTTGGTGGTGCCGGGGTAGGGAAGACAGTGCTCATTATGGAACTCATTAACAATGTCGCTAAAGCCCATGGTTGGTTATACATCAACTTGCCTATTCGCCGAACTTGACATCTTGATAACTTGTCATTATAGGATTTGATCTTATGTAATTCTATGGTAGGTGGGTTCTCTGTCTTTGCTGGTGTTGGAGAGCGAACTCGTGAAGGCAATGACTTGTACAGGGAAATGATTGAGAGTGGTGTCATTAAACTTGGAGATAAGCAGGTTGCAGTGTACTGATTCTTATCTTTATGTAAAGGATCAATGGGTTATTGTTTGCGTCTTAGTGATTTTTGACATTGAATGGTCATATTTGGCAGAGTGAGAGCAAATGTGCTCTTGTCTACGGTCAGATGAATGAGCCTCCTGGTGCTCGTGCACGCGTCGGGCTTACTGGCTTGACCGTGGCTGAACACTTCCGAGATGCTGAAGGACAAGATGTGCTTCTTTTCATTGACAACATATTCCGTTTCACCCAAGTGAGCTTTCACGAATCTGAACTAGTCTTTTCTTTCCCTGTACGCATGACATGTAGCTATACTCGGCTGCTTATCCGCTTTATTCTTCTTTCATATGTTAGGCAAACTCTGAAGTGTCAGCTCTACTTGGACGTATTCCTTCTGCTGTTGGTTATCAACCAACTTTGGCTACTGATCTGGGAGGACTTCAAGAACGTATCACGACAACAAAGAAGGGTTCAATTACCTCTGTCCAGGCAATTTATGTGCCTGCTGATGACTTGACTGATCCTGCACCTGCAACTACCTTTGCGCATCTTGATGCTACGACCGTGTTGTCACGACAGGTGCTATTATATAAGTTGCTTTTCTCTGGTTTATCTCCTTTACTACTCCGGACTAACATGGACATGTTTTTCTTTCTAGATATCGGAGCTTGGAATATATCCTGCTGTCGATCCTCTTGATTCAACATCTAGAATGCTTTCTCCTCATGTGTTAGGTGAAGAGCACTACAACACTGCTCGTGGTGTTCAGAAGGTCCTGCAGAACTATAAAAATCTTCAGGATATTATTGCTATTTTGGGCATGGACGAACTCAGTGAAGATGATAAATTAACTGTTGCTCGTGCTCGAAAGATCCAGAGGTTCCTTAGCCAGCCTTTCCATGTTGCTGAAGTCTTCACGGGTGCACCTGGAAAGTATGTGGAATTGAAGGAGAGTGTTAGCAGCTTCCAGGTGAGAATAACAGTTCAAATGTGTAGCTAGTTTTGTTCTGACATATTATATAGGTCTGAAAGATATCAGTGCATTTGCAAAAAATCTTCTTGGGTGGAGCATCAATCATATTAGTTTAGTATAATGAACTTAATTTTCTGACAGTTCGATTATATTATTTTGACAAAATTCAAATAGAATTATATATTTTTATTCTCTGTCATTTTGTTTTTGAATAAGGTGATTGCTTCTTGTATATAGTATGATGATCTTAATGGTGAGAATAGTTAATTGGTACCACCTACTGCTGTATTGTCTTCTAAAACAATTTGTTTTCATTGAAGTCATGTGTATGATTGGTTTCAGTTAGAGGCTTCTTAACCATTATATATTGTTGCCAATTTCTATTAAATCTGCTGCTTGTACAATGCAGGGTGTTTTGGACGGCAAGTACGATGACCTTTCAGAGCAGTCATTTTACATGGTTGGAGGGATTGAGGAAGTTATTGCCAAGGCTGAGAAGATTGCCAAGGATTCCGCTTCTTGAGGAAAACTGCAAATTTAAATAATCTGAAAAAGGTGCTTATGATGGTTCATGCGCCCAAAAACGTTTTTACTTTTAATTTTAATTTTTTTATTTTTTTTTTGGCGGATGTTTAGGTCTTGAGAAAAAAGCCCAAGTTTCTGCTTTTTAACTAATAAAACCATCTGAACATTCTTTTTACCTTTTTATATTTGGAACAGTATTAAATATGAGAGGGTCATGCCATCATTTATCTGAAGTGAGAGATCTACAAATGTGGATTGATACTTTTTTGTCTATGTCCGTCAAGAAAAATAAATTCTCAATCATGTGTTTTGACAAATTTTTTTAAGATTGACCACTAGTGTTTTTTTTTTAATATATTCTTCCTTAAATTTTAATATTTTTCTTTAATATAAAAGTCAATTGAATTTTTTATCCTCCAAGGAAGTTGAATTTATGAAATTTTAAAATATTTGTTGATTTTGATAGTTATTTCTTTCCATTTTATCACTTGTAGAAAATACTTGGTTAATTATCTTGTGAGTTGTGATGTTCATTTGCTCATTTCCTTTAATGATTATATATATATAGTCTTGCTAAACAACAAGTTGTCATAAAGTATAATTCTTCCCTTCAAAATCTAATTGATTATATTATTATCAAATATCTAATCGTATCAGACCTTCTGGACTCGAGGGAGAGAGCTTTGGTGCCAAGAAAAAATCCAAAAAATCATTAGTAAAACCGTAAACTTGGAAGAATAATCAACACTAGATTTACATTGTTAACATTATTATCTATGTCTATGATTAAAAAGTAAATTCAATAAACTATAAGTTAGTTCATATAAATTCCGATTTTTTTTTACTTTTTTCTAGATTGACAAGAGAGAATCGTAGGAACACTTAAGCGTGTCTTATTATATTATTCGCTTAATAATGAAGTATTTATAAATAAAATTCAATTTTTATTTTTACTATTTTTTTTGGCATTTTTATCATGCTCGAATACGTTGTCTTCAAGAACAAGAAAAGACGAGTACTTCTCACCATCAAGAATATGAGATGGCACTACGCGTGTATATATATATATATATATATATATATATATATATATAGTAAGCCCTTTAAAAGGCTCCTTCCGTTTGGAGGTTCGATTCGTTTGAAAGGCTCCTTCCGTTTCCTCTTTTTCCTTCAACCCGATGGCTTCGGGTCCGGCAAAGTCTCAATCTTTGATGCCATTCTTCCGCCATTCCCCGTGTCAATATCAACCTAGCCCGAGACCCGCTGCGCCGCCTTGGGCATGGCGGTCAGGACATGACCCTTCCCCCCTTCTCCTTCCCTTCGTCTCCCTCCTCCTCTTCCTCTCCGCCGTCTTCGGTTTCACCGCCGTCGTTCGCCTTCTTGGCCCGCCCAGCTACCGGCATTTCAGTGCCATGTCGAACCTTCTTGCCATGATTCACCCAGGATCGCTGGCTTGCCCACCTCTTCTCCCACGGCCCTGGCACGGGGGGTCGCAGGAGCTGGCGGTCCGCCTGCAGCACGACGGGTTCGTGCACGTTGTGGGCAAAGACGGACCACGACCCCATGGGTTCGTCCGGGATCACTGCGATGCGGCGTGCCGCGTCGGCGCTCCTTCGAGGCAGGGTTGGTTCGTGACCTTGAGCGCATCGGACTGTCCACCGGTGAGCAAGGCATTTTGTGTTCTTCATCTTGTTTTCTCTTTCAAGATCACATAATCCACGATAATCGCCCTCCCTTTTCATGATCGCATATCATGATCGCATATGAGGTAATCTACCTTCGTCTCCGAGATCACATATCTTGTGATCTACCTTCTTCACATATCTTGAAATCCGTGGTAATCTACCTTCGACTACAAGATCACAATTCTTGAAGTCCTCGATTATCAACCTTCATCTTCAAGATCAAATTTCTTCAAGTCCACAATGAACGACCCGACCCTCGTCCTCAAGATCACATTTCTTGAAGTCCGCAACAATAATCTGCTATATCTAAGCTATTTAACTAGAATCTGCTAATCCGCTTGATGTTTCGCATGAACCCCCAAATCAGGAGATATTGAACTATATATTTTGTAACTACTAATTAGATCAATAGAACAAACCAGATAAAATAGGTCCAATAAATTAACAGATAAAAAGTATAGAATATTCATATGCAGAAACGAATACATATAACGGTTGTTTGTGATGTTTGATTGGTGCATGGTACAAGGATGAGGTATTAATTGGCCTAATTAATACCTGTCTCGGTTTGTTGTCGAGCACAATAGTATGTTATAACACTCATAGAAGTTCCCACCCTACGGATAATTAAAACCTGATAGATGATGAAATAAAAAATAACACTGAATACGGATTCTCTAACATCAATTAATTTCCTCTACCTCTTCAGCATGTTCTTGAACCAGTAGGCTGATTGCTTTGGGTACCGTATGTTGGTCTTAAAGTCCACGTAAACCAGACCAAACCTCGAAGTGTAACCTATCCTCCACTCGAAGTTATCGAGGAGAGACCATGCAAAGTATCCGATCACCGTCGCACCATCATCGATCGCCCTCTTCAGCTCAGTGATGTAGCTCTTGAAGTAGTTGATCCTCTCTGCGTCCCGCAAACCTTCTGGTAGAGTGACATTGCCTGGCTGATCCATTCCTATCATCATCACCGTCAAGAGATCAGAAACTGTGATAACGACGGAGGGAGGAGAACATACAATGTTTCATACCATTTTCTGCGAGGATGATGATTGGATCGCCATAATTTTCCTTGACATAGGTCACAGCTTTGTACATTCCCCATGGAACTATGTAGAGCCAGTAGGAGTTGGCCTGAGTAAAATTCCATTACTAACAGGTTAATCGACAGTAGCTTGTCAAGTGTAGATCAAGGAAAATTACAGATTGGGTAAAAAAGGATTCTAATTAGCACAAGAAAAGGCAAAATTTTACCCGTGGTCCAATAGGGACACCATCTTGGTCATCTGCAAAATATGGAGATGTAAGAAACAAGGTTACCACAAAGAATGAAGCTATTACGAGGGATCAGCAAATCTAACATTTGAATTCGACGTGCCAGTCGTCTTGGTAGCTGACAGGTTTGGGATTGGTGACTCCATTATCCTTCATGTAGTAAGCTGTGTATTGGTTGACACCAACATAATCATATGAACCTTTCACCATCTTCACTTGATCATCGGTGAATTTAGGAAGCCTGTCCTTGACAATTTCTTGAATTGATTTTGGATAGTATCCATATGTTAGAGGGTGAAGAAACCTGCAAACAGAGGAAGAGATCAATCGGTCACTTAGAGAGTATATACTCGAGTTATCTCAATTGGAATAGGCTGCATTGTTACCATCCAAGGTGGAAATCCCTGGCTCTCTGGGCCGCAGCTTCGTCATTTGCTGAGTGCGTATGAGGCTCGTACCAAACAAAATCCAAAATAATACCAATTTTGCCTTTCTGATCTACCTGAATAGAGAGAATACAACAAGAAACATGTGTTGATCTTGGTTATATGTTGTATGACAGAATCATGAATTGTGTGCACAACAAACCTGATACTTTTCGCGATATCTCTTCACTGCGGCTGCATGTGATAAGATGATATTATGAGTGACGATGTAAGGCTCTGTGGTTGAGTTTCCTCCGACTTTACAGTCGGTACATCTTCCAGGGGCATGAAGGCCGTTGTCATAACCAAGAGCCGACACCACCCTGGGCTCATTGAATGTGAACCAGTTCTTGACTCTATCTCCATACCTCTCAAAGCAGAAGTCTGCATAGTTGGCAAATGCATCCCTGCATGATACAACTCATCAGACGGGCTTAAACAATCTCCAATGATTTATAATGCAAAGAGCATTATAGATTAAGGCATTGTCAATAGCCAAGGGCTTACACGATCTTGGGGCTCACCCAACCCAGGTACTCTTTATGAAGTGCCAATGGAAGATCGTAGTGATAGAGATTTGCATAGGGAGTAATGCCTGAAACACAAATGAAAAGAAAAAAAGATTCTGATATAGCCATTTGTTTCTTTTGATCGTAGAAGGCATAAAGTTTACCTTGCAGTATCAAGTAGTCGATTAGCCGGTCATAATAGTCTACGCCTTGCCAATTAATCTCTCCAGTTCCATCTAGAAAACAGAAGTTGTCATCTAACAGTAGTGGATGATGCAAACTTGGTATAGATAAAGATGAGTCCTGGATGATCAAAAAATTATAGAAAAATATGTTTCCATTACTTGGAAAAATCCTGCTCCAGGAGATGGAGAACCGATATGCATCAAAGTTGAACTTCTTCATGATGTCGACATCTTCCTAAACCATGAGATGTTACCAAGTTAACATTCTTTAACTCAACAATGAGAAATCGAAACCTATGAATTTCTACAGGCAATAGCGACTTGATAAAGACCATAGACTACTCTACCTTGTAGTGATGATATTCATCAACTGATACATCAGCAGTGGCATTGTTGGGAATTATACCTGCGGTCAACCAACACACACGAATAGAAATCCTCCAAGCAAAAATATTCAATCATTATAGTGAAGAGGGAGAAGTAAAAAGAGAAGGAGAAAGACTGCATGATACCCGGAACCCTAACGAATGCATCCCATATGCACGGTCCCCTGCCGCCCTCGAGCGCCATACCCTCGACTTGGTAGGCGGAGGCTGCAGTACCAAAGACAAAGCCCTCGGGGAATGCATCACGGTTTAGTTGGTTGGCTCCGACCGCGAAGCGTGGATTGCTTGTTGATAGGAGGGAGAGCAAGAGGAAGATGCACGAGAAGAAAGATGAGAACCAAATGGAACACATCTTGACCGATGATGTGAGTGGAAGACTAGGCATAAGATATTTATAAAAGAGCAAAACACATCTTGGCGTAGAGGTTTAGAAGGTTCAAGCGGATAAGATAATTTAGCATGACAGGAAAGGATGGCAGTCGGATATGTATGTACATTTGTTCTATCGAATATCGATTTATTATTTTGTAATGAATGATGATTTTTCTTAACATAAATCAAATTATTATTTTTTGTTTAATATGGTTAAGGAAATGATTAAAATTGATTTTATGTGAATTTTTTAAAAATTTGATCAATCAATTATGTTTTTAATTCATTTATTTCCTAATAAGTGAAGTGATTTTTAGAAAGTAAATAATAAAAAAATTATTTTTCTATATGAATCATAAGAAGTAAATATTATAATTCTATTTATATATATGAAAGTAGAATAAAAATAAATTAAATATAATTTATTGAAGAGAGAATTTCTTTGGGGCTCTCCTTCCTCGTTCTTGGATTAAGGATAGATTTCTCGAGGAGAGTTAGAACTTTTAATTTTTTATTAACTTTTATTTATATTTTTAAAATCTTTGATATTATAATTATTATAATTTTATGATACATAATAATATTTTAATTTTATAATTAAAAATAATAATTATTGAATTATGATATTAGAATGGTTTGTTAATTTAGTTAATAATAGTTCTAATTTATTTAATTAAATGTATTTATGTTTTAAGAAATTATGTGTGAATTGTTATGATTTAATTATTTTTAAATTTGGAATTATGAATCTAAATTAGTTATTTCATAAAAAATAGATTTAAGGTTAATTATTATTTTATAATATTTTAAAATACTTTTAAAAAAATTAAAATATAATTTAGTAAGAGGAGTCTAATTAGGGTATGACCCTAGTTAAGTTGATTAGCTAGATTAGTCCATGTGGTCAAGCATGTCTTAGCCCATATCACTAGTTATGATCTAACCCATATAGTGAAGTACGATGCAACCTATATGAACAAGCATAGTCCAACTCATATAGTCAAGTATAACCTAACCCATAAACCAAACATTAAAAACAAGTTTAATGACTCTTTTACAATTTTGCTAGATAGGGAGTAGGATTTTATCAATGAGTAGGATTTTATCTTTATGATCTTAGGTGTTAAAAGCTTGTAAAGCCTTCTCATTACCATCGAACTTTTGGAATATATAAAGGTTTACTTAAAAGAAGCAAAATTTCGCCTCAACTTGAAGCAAGTCTTTGATAGTTTTAGTTACCTCTAGGATTGTATTATATTCTCCATCATTTTTATCACCTACTCCTCTAAGTAGAAAAGATATAACACCATCGAGCACTCATGCATCAACCCAAAGTTTTTAACTTTTGACAATTTTGATGAGAAGCTCGTTGACATCGGTCTTGTGAAGTTCCCTGATCTCTATCCTTCAATCTTTTCTCGGTACTTGAAGTTTGTCTTTGCATTCTCTACCTCCTCAACCTCTTTTATGATTATACGCTCTCCTTCCATGAGAGCAAAGGATCGATGACTCCACAAAAGTTTCGCCTCTATGGTATCATGACATTGTCATGCTTATGGATTTACTATATGTTGTCTTGCACATGTGTCCCTTTCTTTGCGATTAGTAGGTATACCTCTATGGTACTATGGTACTCCTCTAAGTCTACCCTTATCCTAATTGATGCTTAGTTTTATGTAGCTAAGTCTCTCTAGACTTATCATTGCTTCCTCGCCTCTTTCGACCACATGCTTCAACACATCTATGTTCCCCAAGCAGTCTTATGCATGACCTCTATCATTATGTTGTAAGGCTCACGTTGATTCTTTTATCCTTTGTATCCTTGGTAGCAATGTTTACTCACTTAGCCTTGTTCTTTGACTTTTTGAGCTCCCTCAACCAAATATGAGCTCTACAATAGTCCACTAATTAAGTACAGTGCACACGTTCGCTTTGATCGTTCCTCTACATGATTAAGTCCTCCTTCATGGGCCTTACTAGTACTTATATATGAAATCTCCCTCGGTGGTACACAACTCTCATATGTTGATGACCAAGGCTTTCATCTGATATAAAATTTGATGCCCAAATGGAAGACTCACCTTTATGATACCATGAAATTCACTACTTGATTCCATAGTCTTTCTTATCATCATGATGTTCACTAAAGTAGAACTCCCAATAGCTCCCAACCATACCTCCGTATGATCAAGTCTCTTACTAGATTTCTCCTATATATGTTGCATTATCTTGAACTGTTCTACCATAATTCATTATACTATGTCACCTCCTAATGATATCTTTATTGTATTCTGATTTTTATGAGATGAACTTGGAATGTAATCTCTCCATGTGTTGCCTATGCTATCACATTTCAGAGCCTCCACTACTTATGATTGTGTTTACTTCTTTGGCAATCGATCTTTGTCTATATGCTCTTTGGTCATGCATAGATGAAGCATAACTTTATAACAATATATCACCTAGCAGCTCTTGAAGTTCACCGACTTTACTGAAATCAGTGTGTCATTGTTTGGATCCTAGGCCTTTACCCCCAGCATAATCTCTAATACGCATAGCTTCCTTTGCGATAACTCGAATGACAACACTATAATATATTATTTAAGGGCACCCACTTCTGTATACTTTTGCCCTGTGCTAAGATCTTCTAACCCCAACTTCACTTCTACAAGTTGAGTTACCTTAGTCTCCTCATCAATTACTTCATTAAGATAAGGTGCATATACCTTAAAGCTCTTCTCAACTTTGGCACTATGCAAGATGAGTCTACTCAATTAGAACGAGAGACTCATGGAACGATATTATCTTATTTTTACCTATGTAAGAGTTCATGTCATTGATCTCTATCCAAATTAAGTCTCATGCTTCTGCTTCATGTTCTGTCTTCTATATTGATTCTCTTCATGCGACTTGGACATTTCACTAAATTCCACTCAAATTATTTCATTTCTTGATTTACATAGAGTTGATGTGGCCCTCGCACCCATCATTCCATGGGTCAGCCCTCCGTTGAGTTTAATCTCTATATCAGCTCTAGGGGTACCTTCGTTTGGTGTTATCTGAGGTCACTCCCCTATATGATCTCGCAATACGTTTACCAACATATTACCTCATACTAGATCATGGGATGACTCCTCATTGCTTTCTTGGTCTATTGAGCATTATGAAATTGTTATCTTGAGGTACTCTTATGGTCCATTTGTACATGATTATCCCTTTGGAGAACTGAGACATAACCCTCTTGGATATCTATTTTGTTGGAGCAACATTTTTTTTCGTGTCCTTATCTGTAGAAGTTTTGGAGACCATCATCCTCTTGGACTACATTGTCTTATTTAACAAATAGTATACTATTTCGTCACCATGAATACACTTGCTAGCTTATGATTTTTCACTAATATAAAATCCGCTGCATCCCTTAAGGCCTAGCAACATATTGAACTTATTATATACTTCAGCCTCCTATGGATATATCCTTTCTAAGAAAAGGTTTCAATACTCTATGGTACTAAGTTTCGATCGCCTTGAGATAGTCACGGATAATCTATCATTTGCATACAAGTCCTTGCATAAGTACCACATTCTTCAAGTTAGTAATTCCTCCCATCTTTATGAGTTTTTTTGTAACTTTTTAGGTCATCAAGCAACCCATCCCTTATTACACGACCTCATCCTTTGTCAAATGCTCTGCTTGCCTTAAGCATCATCAAGTTTGGTTGCCAATGTCAAGCTATAGTTCGAACTCAATCATCCCAACCATTGTGCACTATATATTATTCCTTGTGTGCTTATCCTCATGATGCCTCTCATGTGAAGGGTTGGTCATTCTATGAATGTCAATATCGAATACTCACTCTTTTAAGCGATTCTTTTTTCTACATCTCTGTACTTATTTCCTTCAAACAGTCATGTGTGTTGGCTACCCTCAATGTAGCTTCATTAGGTCCCTTATATTTTCATGTCAAGTGTTTCTAAATGTGCCTGTCTCACTCTAACACTATATATTATGGACTTAGTTGGTTTTGTCTAACTCGTGTGACACTCTTGCATATTTGTAAACTAAGGGTCAACCTCTCCAAAATATTTTAATGTCCCTTTAGAACTTGTAAAAGAGAAGACGGGTTAGAAGAAATATTTAGCTCGAGATATTACAAATAGATATTTTAGTAAATATTTGATAAGTAATGCAAATTACAAATATAAACTTTGCAAGCTCTGATTGATCATGCAAGAAAGGGTTTATGTGGTTTGCTGCAAAAAGTCTTCATAAATGCCCACATGCTACTACTGCAAAACAAGATAGCAACCTATCTCTAGACATTGCCCTAATGGTCCTTCCAACTATATACTATTCGAGTGGTTCTTGGGTGCTTTGTTAGCTAACACTCTATACCACTCTATGTTTACAAGACAAAACAAATCATAAAAGCCAAACAAAATAGGCTTCTTAAGTATACTATAAGCCCTCTTCATGTTGTAAAAAAATATATATAAATTCGAAAGATACAGATATAAATGGATATTATATCGAATACCCTATTTATAGATTTGTCTATGACATTCTTAAATTGAGGAGAGTTTTCTCCAAGAGAGGTAGATCCTCTAATTTTTTCATCAAATTTTATTCATATTTTAAAATATTTGATATTAAAATTATTATAATTTATGTGATACATAATAATATTTTAATTTTATAATTAATAAAATAATAATAATTAAATTATGATGTTAGAATGATTAGTTAATTTAATATTTTTAATTCATATAATTAGATATATTTATATTTCAAGAAATTAGGTGTGAATTTATATGATTTAATTAGTTTTCAATTTGGAATAATGAATTTAAATTAGTTATTTCATGAAAAAGAATGGATTTTAGGTTAATTATTATTTTACAATATTTTATAATATATTTAAAAATATTAAAAATCTAATTTAATAAGAATGATCAAATTAGGATTTGACTCGAGTTAAGTTG